AGGCCAACAAGACAAAGTGCAATCTAAGTCCTACTGTGATCAACAAGAATAACCAATATAGTTTTCATCTGACACCCAAGCCTCAATCCAGACTGAAAAGGGTCTCTCTTCATCCAAGAACTCCTGTGGCTACAGCCCTACCATTTAATAATTTTCTCCCCAAAAGTGATAATTTAAATAGTGGTAGTTCTGTAGAATGATAGATGTCTAGAAATAAGTTGAAGAAGCATCCATGAGAAAGAGGTGTGCCATTGCATCTTTAAGCCTGGTGACATTCATTCCAGTCAAAGAGGCATTCAACAAACCTAGCTCCTCATCTCTTCCTTATTCACTTCATCAAGATCTATAGACTCACACGAATCCCAGAAAACATTAAAGATACCAACCGCATTATCTCTTTGGCCTTCAGGCCTGTCCAATTGAGTAAATATGATGATTGTACTCCAAAATGCTTAGCAAAAAGATTATTGTTCTCTCTATATCCACTAATTCTAATAATGATTACCTGTTGTTCACAGGGATATATAAGCAAGGCACATATTTAGTTATATCATTTTAAAATATCATTGCCACTCCAATTTTAAGTTTCATATTCTAGTTCTTGCAATATATATATATATGTAAATGCCTCCCCTCCCTTGGTACACTTACTCTCACATTCCCAAAGCACCATATTTTACAGGTATATACTTCTTTGGTTTGTGCTTCCATATTCCATGCTTCAACTGCAAAGGAACTCTTCTTTTAGTGTAGACAGTATCAATGACCAGCCTTTTTAGTGATCTGGACTATTGCTTCCAGGCCTATTTATAAAAATTCAGTTTTTCTATCTTTTGACATGGAGAGATAATCATCTGGCACCAAAAGTTTCTATATATTTTCAGCCCTGTCTATATGGGGTGTATGCGGGGAGGGGGTTGACAACAGTACAAAAGCTGTCAAAACATCTCTATTTGCCTTTTGAGTTCCTCCAGATTTCAGTTTAGAGTTCCCTTTAAGTGAATTGGCTTCCTTCATGCCTTCAATGCCTCACCTGCTCTCATTCTGTCAATTGTACTTATAGTCCCTGTTCCTTTATGACCTTAGCAGTAAGGGAGACCCAACCAAGAGTTCCTTCTGGGATGATGCTGGGTGATGATGATACTGATGATATGCAAATGAAGTGATGCTTTGGGGAACTTTTTTTTTTTTTAAATAACCAGTTTCAGTCATGACATGGCAGAGGATTACAACATACTCCAGCACATGACCTATTCGAAACATCTGGTTTTTAATGTTTTTTTTTAAAGCTTAATATAATCTGTCTCAGGGAAAGTGGTAGGAAAATAAACCTGTCTCTATCATTTTGCCTTTGCTGGAGAGCAAAGACAAGAACATGCTGACACAATGCTGCTATTCTCCCTGTATTCAGTTGTTTTAATACAAGATTTTAGCATGTCCTGGGAACTTGCAGGTTTATTAAGGTCATTTGTGGAAGCTTAAACTAAATATCTGTTTACTGTATTTGAACATCAGTTTGACTCCATGGAGTAAAAGTGTAATTCAGACAGATTTCCTACTGACAGGAACTTTCCATTGGCTTTAGCCAATATTCATGAAAGCAAACTATATGCCACCAAGTTACATGCATCACATATTTCTCATCCAACCTTCTTTTGGCTCTTTATTTTACATATGAATTGTATGTGTATTATGCCTATATTAATACAGGCTTAATAACCCATAAAAAACAAGGTCACTTATGAATAAATAAACTTCATTCTACTCTTATCTATATAATTTGCTGGCATTACAATGTTGTTATAACTTTTTAAGACATATATGTAATGATTGAGAGTTGATAGAATATTCCTATACAATTTTTTAAAACCGAAATAATTATAAATAGCAAAATCCTATTGTAATACAGTCTTCTCCTATAAATATTTTATATTTTTATCTTTTTAAGATAGGAACATCTTCATTAGAAGTAAGCTTGCTGACTGATTAAGCTCATTGCAGTTACCAAATATAATTAGGCCCATGTTTTGCTACATGTTCAAATGTCTGCTGAGAAAAAGGTGATCTAGTTAAAATACATAAATATTGAATCATATGCAAAGCATTCTCAGTAGAAAATATTTTGAGCCCAACATGTGTTATCTAAGCTTGAAACAGTTGTTCCAAATTTGAAAACAGCTTTTCTCACCTTACCAGAAGCCTTCCAATGCTATTATTGCTTTGCAAAATGGGATTCTTCCTTGTGGAAGAAAATGAGTGTTTCTTATACGATAATATCATTTTTGCTTGAACTTTGAAAATCAACTCAAGCATTTTTAAATTTGTGTTTTGAATTAACTTCTTGAACCGTTGTCATCTAGCTTTTTCCAAAATACTCGGTTCTATTTAACTTTTTCAAACGCACGCTCCTTCACACGCACGCACACACACATGGAAATTGTACTCAAGTATTGTTAAAATTATATCCAGCCTATTTTAAGGCTTAGAATAGCAATAAACTGTCATATCGGTCCTTATCTGTGAATCATATCTGGGGTGTTGCGCAGGCTTGTTGTGACTTGCCTCCTGCTAAGCAAGATTTCCCCACAATTTTGTTCTCTGAAGCACATCGTCGGGAGGCGGGTATCAGAGAGAGAGAGAGAGAGAGAGAGAGTGTGTGTAAAGGGATTTTGCTCCATCCAAAAAGCGCAACGACACTGTGGCGTCAGTTTGATACCGCCAAGTTTGTGAGCGGTGCGTGTTTATGCTGGAGTGGTGGGAAATACTGTAATGTGTACTCTTCTGTGTATTTGGAAAAAAGAGCGAGCGCCCAAATTCAGCCTCGCTTCCCGTGCTCTCAGAGCAGGGAGCCCGCCAGGACGCCTCTACACACAGGCTTGCTTTGTTGCTTTTGTCGAGAAGCCCACTGCCCAAGGGCACCATCCTCCGTTGTCGTAAAACAGCGAAAGGAGTCAAATGGAAGGAGAGCAGGCCGGCCGGCACGCCCCTCTTGCTGAAAGTTGGGCAAGGAAGGATTGGCGGCATCACCTGGAAATGCAAGGCGAAGAGAATTTGGGGCTAGCGGGGAATTGACGGGGGGTTCGGTCACAGGGCTTCAAGCAGGTACTAACTTGAGGGAGGCTGTCGGCAACGCGAGGGCTTGCCGAGCCCCGCCTGGCCCGAGGGAAATGCTAGAATTGGTTTTGAGGGTTGTGGAAAGTGAGGCGGGAACCGGGAGAAGAGGCAAATGCGAGCGTCTGTGAGAACGAGACATGTAGATAGCTATGTTCTGCAGGGCTAGACTGTGCCACGTGCGTGTGTGTGTGTGTGTGTGTGCGCGCGCGTTTGTGAGTGTGTGTGAGACAGCCTATGTGTGTGCGCGCGTGTTGCAGCTGCTTGTCCCCGCAGGCTGGGGAATAGCTGTAGATTTGCCTTTTGGCTGCGGGCTGTGTGGGCTTTGCTAGTCCTATGTTATTCGTTGCTGGCTTCCTTCGGCTTACCATCGCCAGCTAGGAAACGGGCAGGTTTTGCTTCTTTTGTAGAGAGCCCGGGTTTACTCGCAGGCTTCGGTTCCCTCCCGATCTGCAGCAACGGCGGCCGCTCGGGGTGCGACGGAGAAACCTCTGGGGATCTTGATCGACTCTCCCCTTTGGCTTCTCTTTTCGGACGAACCAGCCGCTGTCTTGCGTGATCTGCCGCCTTCGACTCCCAGCTGCAGCCTGCCGCGTCTGGCTGCTCTTCGAAGACCGCTCGATGCCTTCGCCGTGAACTCGAGGAGGAGCGAGATCGGCGCGCCTGGTATGCAGTCGGAGTAATCCTCTTTTTTTGGGGGGGGGGGGGGGCGGAGGGTTGGTGGGATGGTCGGAGGGAGGGGGCGGTAGGAGAGTCGTTCCGAAGTGATGGTGATCCGAGAAGTTTCTCCTTTGCTGGCTACAACTCCGAACCGCTGATTTGGGGGCTGCGAAATATGCCGTGTTTCCGCGCCCGGCTGCCAGAATTCAAAAGGGAGGAGCTGCCTTGTTCAGTGTAGCTACCTGCCCCCTTTCTTCTCCCGCTCTCCTGGTGGGTCTCACCTGCTGCTGCCGCCGCCGTTACTACAGCTGCTCTCTTCCCAACCCATCCCTTTGCTTCGGTCGCCGGTGGAAGTGGAGTGGGGAGCCCTTCTTCCCTGCGTCCCTAAGCAATGAGCGTGCCGGGGTTGCCGTGCTGCTCTTCGGGCATCACTTAACGGACGGCAGCTGGCACCGTACCGAGGCTGGGGTAAGTGAATGTCAGTCTCTTTGAAGCGGGTGCTTGCACGGGCCAATATAAAGTAACCCCATGCACTACAATACGATGAAGCAGCTGTACCTATTTTGGTGAGGTCTTTCCGCACCGCCATTCCACGCTTCCTTCCCAGTTCTCCCTTCTGTTTCCCCACCCCATTCATCACACAGCAGCCACCGCCACTGGGAGCGCGCGGCCCCTTTAAGAGCCCAGCTTTGCCTCCCGGTAGCTGAAGGTCATTAAACACAAAAGCTCTCCAGCGCTGCGGTCCAATATAGCGCATGCGCCCTGCCCGAGGACTGGCAGGGAGACGGCAATATGGCGAGAATGCCTGGCAGCGGCGGCGCCAGCGGAGATTGGAGCACCGGGGGCGGTAGCGGTGGTGGCGGTGCAGGTGGTGAGCACAATGCGGGGGACCGGCAGCCCAGCCGGGGTGGCCCCCACCGGCTTCTCCACTATTGCAGCGCCGGAGAGGACGAGGACGGGGAGGACGAAGATGAGATACAGGAGGTGCAGATAACGGGGGACGAGGAGGGCGCCGATGGGGGAATCCTGCTGCTGGACGACGACGAGGAAGAAGAAGACGTGATGATGGGACTTGCATGGGACCCTGAGGAGGAGCCGGGCCATATGATTCGTATGGACCAAGGCTCCAGGGCTCTGCTGGATAAAGCTGCGGCTGCTGTTTGCAGCGTCAGGGGCCGCCTCGGAGGGGTCAGGAGAGGGGGCACAGGGGCCATCGGGGCCGCTGCAGGTGGCGCCCCCTCAGTGCCGGTGAGCGCCCGCGGTATGGCCACTTCGATCGTTAGCAAAGCGGTGGCACCACTTGCCGCCGAGGACTCTGACCCGGAGGCGGAGTTGCTCCTGCAGCGCCCCGAGCGGGCTCGGCTGAGCGAGAACACGCGCTTGGCCACCCGCTACGCGGTGCGCATCTTCCGCGAGTACCTGAGCGAGAAAGCCCAAAGCCCCGACTTCGAGACCATGGACAAGGGGGCGCTGTGCCGCGTGTTACGCTCCTTCTACGCCGAGGCGCGCTCCAAGAGCGGGCAGCTCTACTCCAAGTCGTCGCTCATCAGCATCCGCAGCTCCCTCAACCGCTACCTCAATGAACCTCCTTATTGCCGCACCCTCGACCTCACCAAGGACCCGGAGCTGCGCGCCGCTAATCTGACTCTGGCCGCCGTCATCCGGAAGCTGGAGGAGCAGGGCGCCGGGCCGGTGGTGCAGAAGCAAGCCATTACGCGCGCTGACCTTCGGAAGCTCTACACGTGCAACGTGTTCAGCACGCAGAGCCCCTTCGGGCTCCTGAACAAGGTCTGGTTCGAGACGTGCATGTACTTCTGCACGCGGGGCCGCGAGAACCAGCGCGAGCTCGAGGAGGACTCCTTCGGATTGGCCATGGACGAGGACGGGCGCAAGTTTGTCTACTTTAAGGCCCTGGGGCCGTATCATAAGTCGCGCTCGTCGTCTTGGAGCAAAAAGCGCGCCGAGAACAGCGACGAGGAGAATTTGCCGCGCATGTACGAAACCGGCACGGAGTTCTGTCCTTACGCCAGTTTTGTGAAATACTTGGCGAAGCGGAACCCGCTCTGCAAGGCCTTTTTTCAGCGACCGCGGGACCACTGCAGCGAGGGCGACGTCACCTGGTACGAGAACAAGGCCATCGGCAAGAATCTGCTGGGCACCCGCATGCAGATGCTCTCCAAGGCGGCCAAGCTTTCCAAGACTTATACTAACCACTGCATCGGCGCAGTCTCTATCGCCACCCTCAACAGTATTGCAGGCATCGGCACCAAGCTGTCCTCAGGGGCCGCCGGCGGAGGAGGTCTCAACGGCAGAGCCCGCCTCCCGCCCGTTCCCGCCAACAACACTTACGTTCTGCCCAAGGACGGCGACAACCACCCAAGCGTGAAGGCCGAAGCGGCGGCTGTTCTGGTGCCGACTAAGCGCTCCCATGAGGCCATGTACGATGCCGGGGGCGGGGCCGCGGTAGTGGGAGATGCCTGCGGCCTTTCCTCGTCCCCCAAAAGACTTTGTCTCAGGCCTGCGGAGCCCCTCGACACAGCCGCCGTGGTGGTGGTCTCGGTGAAACATGACCCTTTGCCTCTCATACCTGAAGCCAGCGGGCCGAGAAGCACTAGCTCTCCCACAGTCATTTCACCTGCAATGATTTCCCCTACACAGGTAACCAAAAAGAAAATGCCTCTTCCTCCCCCCCACCCATAATTCACACCTTTTTTCTCCTTAGGTTCGCCAGTTGGTTTCACGAATTTTTTTCCCCCCACAGTAGCTGGCTCTTGAGTTTGCCCTTGATTTCAAGCAGGCTTTTTGGAGTATCCGCTAAAGCAACTTTGGGAACTTTACTAGTTTCCTTCATCTCTTGTGATGGCAGTATTGATTCACTGCTTTTAGCATTAGGTATCATGAAACTTTTTTTTATTATTATATATGGCCCATCTGATGATGAAGAAAAGACTTGGGAAGTCTGGAATCTTTGCCAGAAAGAATCATCCAACTTTGTGTACATTATGAGAAAGTTATGGAAGTGGTAGCTATTAGAAAATTTACTTTTTTTTATAAATTTCAGAAATGGGAAATATTTCAGAAAATTTGAAGATCTTACTGGATCTGTACAGAGCCTTGTCAAAATGTCAACAAGCTATTTCAAGCTATGAAATTGAGCAAACTGGTTAGTTCTCCACTTGTAGTAGCTGGTAATATGATTTCAAATTTTGAAACCCCTTAGTTAATTTGTCAAGAGTCATTGTTATTTTTTTATAAATGGAGTATACAAGTTACTTTGAAGAATTATGTTAAGTAATTTGATTTTAATCAAATTAGTTCTTGTAGGATCAAGTTGCACAGTTCTTTGTAGACCCATAAAGTAACTTTAAAAAATCAGAATCATTGCAGTTGATTCTTCCAATTATCAATGATCTGGGCTTCATTGTTAATCAAATTCAACTGAGCTTTAAAAGAGCTGTGCTCTGTGGATACAGGTATATAACATGTCAGAACAATTTGCAGAGTAGAAATACCAGTTTTGTACAAACTGATCCTTTCAGAGGAGTTTGCCAGCTAATCAGCTAGCCTGAAGGCTGACTGAAGAAAGCCTTTTTGTGAATGGCTGCATCAGCATCTGTCTGTGAAATACATGTGACCTCTCTGTTCAGTTTGGGGCCACTTAAGTAGAGTATTGTACTTTGGCCTCCTGGTTTGCAGCATACATTATTAGAAATCCACTGATATGTGGGTAAATTTGGTATATGAAATATTCTGTTTTTCTGCATAAAAGTATTTCAATTAATGAAGTTGTGGACAACTGAAAATATTTTTTCTCAGATTTTTGTTCTTGTGTTGCATATCTGCTAATAATGCAAAGGAAATCTGTTTCAAACAAGTATATTGAAATAAAAGTTTAGCTCCTTATTTTAAACCACTGATATTAGCAAGAGGTTTTTTTAACAGAGAATAATTTTTGCCAGATAATTTGTATAGATTTTAAACTAATAATTTATAATTACATTCCATAACTATAGCTAACTTGTCTAAAGTGAGTGATGTTTAAAGTGAAGTTTAGTCGGTGTTAATATGCTAACAATTTAAACCAGTAATTTCAAATAGAATAAAAGCATATGTTGTACTGTATTAGTAACTGCCCCCTGCCCCAATCTGCAACAATTCAACATTTAATGAGATTTATAGAGATTGCTTAATAATACTATAATCTTTAGGGATGAAGGTGATTTGCTTATTTGCCCATTCCTATAGAAAACTGTTTGGCAAGATTAACAAATGCTTAGTTTAGGGCATGGCAATGAGGTCTCATTTAAAATGCTAATTACCCACAATTAATTTGCCTAAATAACTGCAAAATCTGTTACATTTATATATAGCCTTAATAATTTGAGTACAAAAAATAAAAACAATAATAGAAACAGTAATAATAGATACATGTTCTCCCTTTTAATTTCAACAAGACAATGATCTTTTCATTGAGCATTAAAAGAAATAGACTGGTTCGGTTAATAGCCTTGAAGTATAGCCAAAGGCCAGCAACAGGTCATTAACAGAAAGTAATGACCTTGCCCATAATTGTTATCCTTAATTGTAAACTGCTTCGTTTTTAGGTCATAACTGAATTGACTTCATCAAGTATCATGCCACTGAATTCCCTGATTGACACACGTTGCTGCTCTCATGATAGCTTTGAGATATTGAAGGTCATAGAATGAAAGCTTTATTGACTGACAGTACTATGAAGATATACTTACTGCTGCTTATCATGCTACCTAGGTTTAATCAAAAACAGAATTAAAAGAGTAAATTGATCTGAAACCAGTAAAGGTAAACTTCACCCAGAGGTACTTGAATAATTTAATAATTGTCTAATTTATTATAATATTGGTATTGGTATTTAATTCTAACGTACCTATGCTATGATACATTCAATCAAATACATTATACTGAATGTGATGACTTTATACTATGTTTATGCATTAATCATTATGCCAATAGTTCTTATATAGAAATGATGGCCCTGATTTGTGAATGGTAATCAAACCATCATTAGTTTCTCTGATTTAACTGTATTGGGCATTTCAGAGCAAAGAAGAAAAAGCATATGGGCACGTTTACTGGATTCTTTCGCATTACCACTAAGTAAAGATAATGCTATAGTTTCTGGGAAAATGCAGTGGTTTCATGCATTACAATGTTTTCCACATATGTAATGTAGATTTATGAAATAGTCACCATTTGCAATTAGATTTAGTAGTCACTGCAATTATACCTGCACAGAGAAGCATGGCCAAAATGTACAAGATTTTGTAGATTTATGCAAATTTGCTATTATGTAGTTGATCATTTTTGCCCAAGAATTCACTTTATTTCAGAAAAAAACACTGTTATGCAATTTACACCAGCAAAGTTAATTTGCATCAAAGGTCTGGAAATTTGCCAAGACATCTTCCTGCCAAAAACACTTGAATAATTTCCAATACCAGGCTCCACATCCCTTTGTGCCCTTAGTCTCACACTTCTACCATTTGGTTTGAGTTGTTCTAATGATGTCCTGTTTCTGACTTATTTTTATACCTGTAATAGCCACTACTGTACTATTGCTATGAAGTCAGAGTGGCCATGAACATTTTGTCCAACCCCCATGCCCCAAAGGGAAAGGTTTTTTCTAAAAATAGAAACAAAGTTATTATTTGTTATTAAATTTGTTTGCTGCCCATCTCGCCTGAAAGCAACTCTGGGTTGCTTACAGTATTAAAAGTTGAATGTAATAAGTGGTATCAAGCATTCAGACAATATATTAATACAGGTGAATCTACCATGTGTGATAACAAATAATGCTAATATTTGTAGTGCCATGACCCATTCTTATCTCTTTATCTGCCGTAATCATTCATATTAAAAATCAAGCTGTAGAAAGATGGAGAGAATGTTTTTCATTATATATAACTAAGCATGAAAATATATTTGAGTAACATAATACTTAAGAATAAACCTTTTTAAAGCATATTTGTTAGCTTATTTTAATGCATTTGGGTTACAAAATTGATCTCATACCCTGCAATCTATTTTTAACTCCTGGTTCACTTCCTTGCTTTATGAAATCTGCTTTGTTCAAACATTTGGGAGACTAGCATAAAATAAAGGATGGTTATACCATAGTTTTTAAAACAGAACTTTTATTGCAAAACATAATTACAAACTTCTCAATAAGAAAGTACTGAAAGTTCAGAAGTCATGTGTTCTGACCTTAATAGAGCATTTTCCCTTATTCTTTCATGCACGAAGGGTGAGATGGAAATATCACATGACAGCAGCTGAATTTTGAAAAGGCATATTAAAATGTTTACTTTAATTTTAGATAAGCACAAAAAAATTCTAACATTTTAATTATTAAAAATCGTAAATTGGAGAAGATCTTGAGTTAAAAGCATTGCTAGGTATAGAAATCCATTAGAGTGATGTTACATCTTCCATGTGCTCTTATGATTGTTATAAATGATTGCTCCACTATTTAGCCCGCAAATGAAAGGAGAGAGCATGCTATTTCATCTTATTTGCCATAAATGTTTTTCTTGCTGGTTCAGAAGTAGCAGACAAGTTGTTTTGCTAGAATATTCCAATAATGCTTTATCATGTTGGGATCTGCATATAAGGAAAGAAAGTTTGCCCACGGTCATGAATATTTTACATTAACCATTTTACAATATTTGTCCAGCTTTATGTACCTGAAGGATGTTGAAGACAAGATCAGTATTAAAAGAAAAATTTAATAATTTTAAGTAACATATATAATACTATAATAGTTTTGTATATTTAGAAAACCAAAAACTCTTAAATTTCTATGAAAAGAAATGCTAAATGTGAGCTCGAAAAACTTCATTTGTAGTTCTATTTCATGGTACCATTTTATAAATTGTCCTAGTCTTCTTACTTATTTACTGATTATTATGGTTCATCACACAGACAGCTAGATGTTTAGATTTGGCATTTTTATCTACCTTCCTGGTACTTCCCAAGGACCTGGGACAGGCAAATGTGGATGTTTGATGGTATTAAATGTATCATTGCAGAATGTACTTTCTTTTGTCACAGTCATTACTATGATTTGTTACACAGTCAACCAGATGTTTAGACTAGATATGGAACCTCCATCAACCTATCAAGTCCTCCCCAAACACCTGGGGTATTGTCGCAAAAAGCTTTTCCAAGTAAAACTGCTTTTTGCAATTGACATAGCTATTTATTAAATTTATAACCTGCTCAACTTCCAGTGATAATGGTAGTTACAAATAATTTAAAACATGAAAAACATGACAAAACAAGCAAAAAAGGGTGGTCACGGCAGGGTTAGAAACAAAAGAAAACAACCTAAATTAAAAGGAGGCTTCAGTCATCTCCACAAAGGCCTAATCTTGGGCTCCTTCTTCAGATTTTGAGGCCCCCTCAAAATACCACCATGGCAAAGGCCATTCATATCTCCAGGGGGTGGGCGGGGAGACTCCGTCCAGAAGCAAACACTGTGACAAAGAGTGTACACTTCTGGAGTCCCAATAGATGCAGTTGGAGGAATTTCAAGATCACTAACCCTGACAGACTGAATTGTGCAAGAAAACATTTTCTTACCTTAAAGATATACTTGTTCTAAATCTTTCAGCGAATGA